AGATGGGGTGGGTTTGTGTGTTTTGATCCCGTAAGCTGCCCCAGAGTCACTTGTGTGAGATGGATGGCTATATAAATAATATAAATAAATACATACATGGAATAATGGGAGGGTTATCACAGTATATCTTATTCTGGCAAAGCAGTTGACATTGTACCTCATATTTTAATTAGCAACCTAATTAAACATGGTCCACTAGATGGATCTACTGTTGGCTTGATAACTATATTCAAACAATATTCATCCTCAGTTCCTGATCAAACTGGAGGGTGGCAATGCGGGGTACCACAAGGTTTAGTCCTGAGTCCTCTCTTTACAATGACTTGAATAAAAAAGTGGAGGGAATGGATAACAAATTTGCAGAAGATACAACATTAGGTGATAGATAATACCCTAGAAGACAGATATAACATTTTAAAAATGGTCATAGATTAAAGAAGTTGATTGAAAATAAAAGATTGAGCTCTTCACATTGAATTTTAAATTTAGAAAACAGAAATCAAATGCACAAGTACAAGATGTGGCTGGTAACAATAGGTGTGAAAAGGTCTTGGACTTGTGGCTCATCAAAAGCTGAATATTAAGGTTCATACTAGAGAACCTGAATGACAATTTCATATTCCTCTTTTCCCAAATTCTCTTCTACCAATCAGCATTTTGCATTGTTATTTTGTGGTGGGCAACTATGGCAAAATGATCTCAGCATGGCCACATTCAAAATTCCTGTAAAGGATCCAAACAGGATATTGACCTGCCACATTTAAAAACCTTATCTTACCATAAGGATGTGTTCCTCAGAGGTGAATTAAACTCCAGGTATTTCAGAAACTGGCTCAAAATGTCCGGTACCCGAATTCCAAGGCCAAGCATCTCGATGGTGGGTTCAAAAAGATCCTTCCATGGCAATTTGCCGTAGCGTAGGTGAGCTTCTTCATAACCACGAAGCTCCCCAGGAACAGCAATCCACTGAGCCCCTATATAAGCAAGGCTGTTGACTTTCTTACAAATAACACAGAAGCTTCTCAAATTATGCTTCTATATATCACCCTAATTGCACTATTAGACTGCCTGGGATAGTTCCACAATTTCATATGACTTGCAAAAAACATACAGAAATCAGCTGAAGAATCTGAGTGTCTACCTGATCACTCATCCTAGCAAAAACCTTTCAGATGCAAGCATGGGAGGAGATTTTAAGGGTCATAATCCAGAAGAGAATGGCGGTTCTGATGCCCACATGTATGTTTTTCTCTGCTTAATGTATGCTTTTTCTCTCTTTAGGATTAAAGAGGGCAGGTTGCTCCACATCTGAAATTCTATCAGTCTATATACAGTGATATCTTGCTTATGGCATCTATGCACTGTTTTAACTAAAGTTTGTTGAATAAGTGGTCTCATTCACACAAAATTCTAAGCCATTAATCATGGGCTGCAAAACTCAGCTGGGTTCACACGCTGGACTGAAGAAACTTATAATGGTTTTGGGGGGAGTGAGTCCAACCAATGGGTTGATACCATCTTACATGCACCTTGCCTCTGTGGTGAAACCGCCTCTGGAAGGCTCTTTTCCCAAGACAGCTTCATGTTTCTTCCAGTGAGAAATGAGATCATCTCCTGGTGTACCACAACATCTACCAGGGCAATTCTTCCAGAGAGATCAAGGGCCTCAAGCCTCCAAGCACATATTTCCTCCCAAACCCCACTGATCTGAACCACTGCATTACTGAATTGTACAGTTACCTGGAAGCAAAAAGTGTCCACACTGATCCAGCAAACCTTCTGTAATGTTTTGGGGAGCCCTTTCACGAGCATTGAGCACCTCAATTTTTCCTGCAATCCAAAGGAGAACACATTGAAAAATCCACCCACCTTTCATGGAAGTGATGAATGACCACAAGCCTGACAAATTTTACCTAGATTCAAATCTCAGATCTCTTATTTCACACACAAACCCTTATGTCACACACAAATTTTCATTCCACATCTAAAGCCATAGTTTGTCGGTAGCTTACATTTTATTTATTCCTTAGGATCTTAGAAAACAGGATTCAGGATAGCAAAAAAAGAAAACCATCTTTTCTGAGGAGCAGTGCATGCTGCCACATCGATGGTCCCACCTGTCCAGTTCTTCTCGAGGTTGGCCGAGCCTACCTGTGGATGCGTTGTAGATGGTGAAAATAACGCCTCCGCCCAGGCCCATGCTCTGCGGGTTCAGGACGGACGTGCAGACCAAGGCTGCGATAGCAGCATCTACTGCTGAGCCCCCACGTTTTAAGATGTCCCTGTTGGGCGCAAAGAGGACAGAGCGCTAAAACCCGGCACATCAACACTGGCAGCGGAAGAGCTCTCCTGAACAACGAGGCACAGCGGGGCTCTTCAGAGGCGGCCGGGACCACAACGGCAGCAGCGCCTACAGCTCAAGCTATGCGGCTGCCTGAGGGGAGGGAGCCAATGGGGCTCTTCTACCGGCAGAGGTGAGGGGCCAGCGGCTGCTGCTTTAACGTGGTGGGGAGAAGGACTTCACTTGAGGGCTGCAGACTGTCTTTGGGGATGCAGATTAATCCACACAGCACAAGCAGCTCTCTCTTCCAGGTCACGTGGTTCTGTCTTCACTGACAAGGAACAGAAGACCACGCAGGAGACCATCAGCACAGTGCATCAGCAGGAAGAGACAGGGAAGCGTCTACCCCAGCCTTTCTCAACCTTGACAACTTTAAGAAGGGTGACCTTCGACTCCCAGGCTGGCTGGGGACTTCTGGGAGTTGAAGTCCACCCCTCTTAAAGCTGTCATGGTTGAGAAACGCTGGTCTAGACAGCCAGGGATTCCAAAGGGCCGCGTGCTCGGCTGTTGTGGTAAAACAGAAGCTTACCAATGGCCACTGGTGACAAGAAACTGTCCTGAGAGGTGCTGATAACCGCCGATCATGAGCCAGGGAGTCGGTGTCTGCCTGGCGTCGACTCAGCAGAGCCAGCAACTCCCTTCCCGGCCTCCCCACAGAAGGCTGGCCAAGCAGGGCAACGGCCTTTCCAGGCTGTGGGGGCTTCCCCCTCGGTGCTTTTGACACCCGCCCCGCAGTCTAGAAGGAACGGGTCTGTGGGGGGGAGGCGGGCGAGCCCGGTGCCCCCAACAGAGAGGGAGCTTGGCCCGGAGCCGCCGCCGGGCTCAGTGCCTTCGGCAGGTACGTGGCGCCGTCCCTGCAGGTCACCGGGAAGCCCTGGGTCAGCTCTGGCTTGTCCCTGGCGGGGTGGCGAGGGAGAGTCCCCACCCCGCTCCGTGCGCTCAGCGGCTCTCCTCCCGGCGCCTGACCGAGCAAAGGAGGAAGGCGCAGGAGGGGCACCCGGCCCCGTCGGCCAGCTGCCCGTCGGGCCAGAGCTCAACTGGCTGGGCCCCCTCCCGGCTTGGTTTTCCCAGGGTGTGGGGGGATCCTACTGGCCAGGGCCAGCCTTCTCCCAGGCACCTCCTTCCTTCCAGCCGTTGTGGGAAAGAGGCGCCTTCGCCCTTGTCCGGGAGCAGCAGCAGCGGGAGGGGGACCTTGCCATCCAGCTCTTGGTCCTGCCTGCCCAGAAGCCGACTGAAGGCCCTCAAGAGCCCCCTTGAGAGGTGGGGGGCGGGGGCGGGGGCGAGTTCCCCTCTGCTTTCCAGGAATTTCCCCTGCAGAGCAGCCCCAAATGTCCCTCCCCACCCGAGCTTCCCCTTAAGTGGCCCCTCTTGGCCCCCAACCCTGGATTCTTCTGTCTAATATCCCATGTGGCTGTGGCTTTAGAGGCCCAGCAGGACTCTGCCCTAGAAGCAAATATTATCTGCACGCGCCTCCTCCCGATCTGGCCTCTGGAGCCCTGAACCCACGCCCCACTCATCTGGGTTCAGGCAAAGCCAGGGCTGAGATTCAGGAGAATGCAGTCGCCTTGGCTCATAGAACAGCAGCTGTCAAAACCCTGTGGAGACCCGGCAGCATCTTTTCCTGAGCTCTAAATGCGTTTTAGAAGACCCTCTCTGCTCCCCATGGAAGGGTGGGATTTGGTGATGTGCCCTTGAGGGACATGGAGGGGAAATCCCGGGGCATCCTTGACCGGGACCTCCTGCTCAGGTGTGCTCAGGGCTGGAGGCTGAGCCAGGTGCCCTTTAGCCTGGCCTGGCCTGCGGAGCTGCTGGCTCCCTTTGCCCGGCCCGGTCAGAGCCTCTGCACCTTTTTATGACCGGGCCGGTCCAGCAGAACCTCTGGGAAGTGCCACCCTTTGTGCCCTCTGTGAGAAGGTGCCGCCTCTGAATTGTGCAGAGACAAGGGGAGACTTTTAAGCACGCAAAGTTTGCTAACCTCACTTTCTAATCACATTTGGAAATTGCTTATCTAACCATCTTAAAATTATTAGAGATCTTCGGAATGACAAATTGGGTGGGTCTATCTTCATTTTTGAATAGAAAAATTAGAAAATATAGAAAATTTAACTATAATTTTAAGAACTTAAAGAATTTGAAATAAATTGCAAAAAGCTAAATAAGATTTTGAACTAAGAAAGTTATAAACAAATTAAGGGTCCAGACAAATCTGGAATACTGAAACTTTTACTATAAGATTCTGGAACTAAGTATATTAAATAAACAGTTTTTCATGGGAACCAAAATCATCTTGTCTACTGTCAGTCATAACAGAAATAAGAGAGGTCTCTTATGATTTAAATCAGACATTAGAGGGGACTAAAGATTCCAAGCAAAAGAAAAAAAACAACAACTTTGCCTTTGCCTTAAGATTGGCATTTACAAAATGACACAAAATACAATAACATTTGAAATATTAAGGAGATATTTGAAGAATGGGGCCAGAAATTAGTAGCCACAATATAATAATATCAGTAATGATGTCTGCTTCTATGGATAGACTGGGTCTATGACAGGCGTGAAACAAATCTTGCTGGATGCAGAAATGGCAGCATCAGAAATATTGGGTAAAAAAGAGTGGAGATTACAAAACAGAGAAGGCATTTAAAGTGGAACAGGTGACAGGCCAAGAGAATGACCCAGATAAGGACTGGATATATAAAAGAAACTGGCTGAAGTTTTAAAAATTAAAGGGGAAATATAAATGATAAACCAAGAGAATGACCTGGAAAATGTCTTTTTGTTGGATTTACAAAAGAGGCTTGTTAAAGTCTCAAAGAAGCCTATGAGATGGGATAAAAAAGAGAGATCAATCCTATGACAATGTGTGAATGAAAGATTAAGATTTTCAGAGGTAAAAGGAAGGAATATAAAATTGGTTTATTTGATCAAGGTTAAAATAAGACATGTTTTTATGAATTCACTCTTTCTTTCCTTTTTCTTTTCTTTCTTTTTTCCCATTTTTTTCTTTCTCTGCACTTTTTATTCTCTCTTTTTACGTTTCTCTTTCTGAGTTGTTTGTATTAGTTTATTACTGCAATTAAAAACTTTAATAAAAATTATATTAAAAAATGTGTGGTGAGCAATCCAACACACAAATGCATGGAGATTGTTGTTGGGGGCCCACTGAGGATTACTGTAGCTTTATGGGGTTTGTTTTGAAGGACACTAACGCTTCCTTCACTTCAACAGCCAGTTTGGACCTTCTTTGTTCGTTCATTTGTGTTCATGGAAAGGTCTGTGTGTCTGAAAGGCGATCTTCCCAACTCAGCTTTGACCTATTAACCCCAATGCATGGTATCCCAGAGATGATGTACCCCCCTAATTATGTTTTGTATTTGACAAGGGCATCATAGAAAGATACGGACAACTGAGGTCTCTAAAGATCTTTGGTCCTGCGAGAAAAAGGATTCCAACAAGACTGAAATCCATGTCTAAAGTGGAAATCTAACTCAGTACAGTATGAGCCTAGTTGCAAAACAGCAACATATGCTTTTTTTTAAAGAGGCCACCTCTTCTGAACTCTTCTGAACTTTTCTAGGAATCAAGCAAAACAGAGGGTTCACGCATTGCAATAAACCCTTCCCAATCACAGTTTGTTGAGTAAACCATAATTGCCTGGGCTTATGCTGAGCCAAAACCAAAGAAACCATATTAGCGATAAGTGCAATGAATGAACTCAGCAAAGTTTAAAAAGTTAGCAGCTTACTGAAGAGATGGCAGTAAACCTCATTACAGTATATTACATGCTCTAGGGAAAGTTTTAAAAATTATTTGAAATTTATTTATTTAAAAGATGTATATGGCTGCCTGTCACACAGCAGTGAGTCTGGGCAGGTACAAAGTTAAAACCCACCATTCCATGGTGAGCTGGCCTTGCACGGCGGAGGTGGTAGGCGCTAGAGGCGCCTAAGAGGTCGCAGGGGCTCTTCCCAGATCAAAGTCGAGAAGCTCTGAAATGCCGGAGAGGCGCAGCTTCGAGGTCCGCCGGGCATCTGCACCGCCTGGGGAGCCGAGCGCTGGGCGAGTTGGCCGAAAGGGGCCGGGGCGGCAGAGGGAGCAACCGCCATCCTCCCCTGCTTGGCCGGGGGCGTGCGAGATGCCCGCGGGATCGAGGAAGGAGACCCGCGCTGAAAAGA